CCGGATGGATCTTGGCTCAAAGCAGAGCATACCAAAAAGATGTTTCCTTGAGTTTTAATGACTATGCGAAGGCATTTGACTGTATGGATCATAACAAACTATGGATCACCTTGAGAAGAATGGGAATTCCCAAACACTTCATTGAGCTTACTCAGAACTGATGTATGTATCAAGAGGCGATCTTTCTAACAGAACAAGCAAATGCTGCATGGCTTAAAATCAGGAAAGCGGTGCATCAGCTTGTCTCCTAAAAATATTAACATACGTGAAATAAATGTAGTCTTTCCTGATTTCATTAACTGAATTTTCTGAAGATCTTCTACAGCTTGCATTTTCTGTGATGTATAGATTATACTTTTCTGCTTATTTGCAGGCTTTATAATTTTTCGTGTTATGCATGTTGTGTATAAATAAACAGTGACGACAAGTAAAAAACAAAACAAAACTGGGATGCTAGTGTCCCAAATAATGTATATAGCTACAAGAAATTAAGGCTTAGCTCTTAATTGTGAAAGTTGAGTGAGACTCCATTTCCATCAATTCCAAGCTCTTCAAAGTGCTTTACGTTGGATCCTCACAAAACACCAGGACAAAAAAAACATGTGATCTAAAATCATAAACTCACCTCGCCTGAATATCTCCAAAGATTCCTGAAGCAGAAAGAGAAATTAATAAGGAGACAAATAGCCAACCGCTTAGTAAATTCTGGCACCACTATTGGCCCTCAACATTATGAAGAGGGTTAAAAAGAAATCAAAGACCACGTGACAAAGTAGAGTATGCGACCCACAAAGTCGAAGATAGACACTGCCTGGCCCTTGATAGCAGTAGGTTGCAGGTGGTTGGCATCACAGAAAACACCTGTTTCCAGCCTGTCCTGGGACGTTGCTGTTAGTGTCGTGGAGTGGGCTCAGACGCAGAGTGGCCCGTGTGTAACAGAAGGAGACACGGTGCCATCTGCGTCGTCATTGTCATGTTGGAGCCAAGGGTGCAGCGCCGTAGCAATCCATCTCTTTGAGGCCCCTCTGCTTGCTGTCCTTCTCCAGACACTGGTCTGACAGCGTGTCCAAAGAAGGTGAGATGCAGTCGAGCATCCTTACTCCTAAGGAGCATCTTGGCTGTACTTCTTCCACGACAGAGCTGTGCTTGCCCTTTGGCACTCGGGAGCACTTTCTCAGACTCTTTCAAGGGGGAAGTTAACATTCTTAATGAGATGTTCAGGTAATTTTCTCATAATCTGCAAAGGGATTAATTACAATGTGTTGGGGGGTGGGCAGTCTTCCACCCACTCAGGTGACGGTCAGGAATCTTGAACTAAACATTCTTTTGGTAGCTTGTCTAACCACGATTGCATAACCATCGCCCCTATCAGATGCCCACCCTGGGAGCGAGTGTCTGCATTGACTTCTTGGAGGTCTGTGCTTGGGCATTCTCGTGGTAATAGGACCTTGACAG